TTGAGATTTAAAGGTGGTTTTTTTTTTTTTTTAGATGCCAATAAAGATAGTAAAAGTAAAACTATTCTATTTTTCTTTAAAGAATCAACTCTCTAGTCTGCTCTCAAGGAAAAACAGGAAGCTTTATAGATACCTGTTTGAAGAATGATTCTGAGTCAAGGCTCTACCCTCTCAAGAGGCATAGGACTAGAATCTTTCTGGGACTCAAGCAATTCAAGCCAATTACTGGAACCATTTCTCATCCTCTGGGGCATTATGGAAAATTCAACTCAAATTCATTAGCATTCTGAAAGGTAATTATTTTCCCAAAATATCTGAGTGAATTTTTAGATCCTATATTCAAAATGCCCAGCTAATGTTTTTAAAAATAAATTTCCAATCCCACAAATGGTCTCGCTTCCCAGAATGGTCATGGGATTTTCAACAGACAAGCCCTTTAGAATGTTTCTCTGATAGGAAAGCATAGTGTCTGTGCCCGGTCAGCAAGGCCTTCAAAAGGTCCACAGATCAGCCATCTCATTTGATACTTTATTTAAAATGGAATGCATTTTTAAAATATGAAAAATAAACCACATCTCTCCAAATCATTTAAGAGACATATTTACACAAATTATGAGCATACTTAAGTTCAGGAATGTGATAGTAAAACATTTGGTACATTGTGATACTTGTTTTTCAGAAGCCGATACTTGCATATTCTGAAACTAAGCAGAAAGCCGACAGTGGAATGTAACAGACAATCATTTTATCTTCCTTCTCAAAATTAATAATAGGAAGGATTACCTATTATACATTCCAATTCCTCACAATCCCACTGGTCACCAGTAGGCCAGCTTCTGAGGGATAGGGAGTTGGCCTCTCCAGCTTTTATGAATGCCCCAAAGTCCTCCTGCTTCCTTCACTGGACAATAATGCCCTAAGGAAACCCTGCTGGATCCTACACTCCATTTAGGATGTCCTGCCAACGACATTGCAGATCATGTTGTCATCTAATGTTATGTAACTCTAGATTGGCTGTACAACATACAGATCAAAAAGTCACCCTTCAAGTTGTGTCCAAACTGTCGGTAGTTACTAAAAACCCACCCAACACAATTGAATAATTAATACATCTCAGGTGGTTTTGGGTAAATTGGCATATTCCTTTTGAAGGAATCACTGATGTATTCAATATCAAGTTCTGAAGCTTCCAAATTTAAATTTTAGCTGGCTGAAGGCATTTTACTGGTAAAGCAAAAGGAAGTTTGACATTTACAAAAAAACAGAAGAATGAATGTTCACAAGCCCATCCTCATCCTACAAAGCTCTGTGTTCTATGGGATTGATCTAGTTTTCACATAAGTCTTAGACCCTCTTCTAAACCTGCCATTGAACATGATATTGTAAACACTTGGAGACAGGCTAAAACCAAGTCACTTTCCCTCGGCACTGAAAAGAAGTGATGCGTTTGAACTTCCACAATAGCAAAAACTTGTTTCAGATTTAAAATGAGGAATCTTTAAGAGAAAAAGGTATATGAGGGCAGTTTTTGTTTTTTTTCTTTAAAGCACCCACACACCAAAAAAAAAAAAATGCCTTTTAACTTAAGCCAGACTTCCTAACAGTGCTTACATATGAGGGAATTCTTTTGAACAGTGAGTTGGGTTTTTCTACCTCCATTTGAAAAAATGTTCAGTGAAATAAAGTTGGTTCGATTTCCATATGAGGAAATTCCAGCTTCCTTTGAGGGAACTGTTCATTTTGAAAGAGCCCTTTATGGGCCTTTCCTCTGACCTCAGCATTCCCTGTAGGGCATAAGCAGATCTGATTTCCACTAAGAAAGTATGCCAAAGGAGCTTCGTTACGTGTAGCTGGTCCAGGATTAGCTTTTCTCAGGAAGCTCAGTGTGAGGCAAGAGAAGGAGAAACCACCTTCTGGGTGCCGGAGAGTTACACATTTTTTCCTCCTTTCATTCATTATTCCCAGTAGTTATTGAGCTGTGTACAAGGCGGAGGGCCAAGAAGTTCAAACACAGAAGTTCAGTTTCCAGATGGGAAATCCTTTAAATTTTCCAACTTTTCACATTTTATGTTTATTTAAGGGGTGAGTTTTCTGTTGGACCTGCCCTTTCCTTTTTTTTTCTTGGGTTGAAAGTACTTTTATTTTTTTCCATGAAGGAGATTGGTTAGGCCTGTTTAATAATCACTCTTTTACAGGTAGAACCACTGGGACGGAAAATGTTTACATTTGTATTTTGTTTTGTTGCGCTTTGTCAAGCATAGCTGTTTCTTTGTTCTGGAAAGTTATTCAACCATAATAATTTCAAAGTATCAAAACACAAAAACCATCCCATCCCTCTCCTTTCTCATTTCTGAGTCTTCACAGTTAAATATTAAGAGACCTTCTAACTAGAGAGCCACTAAGAGGGTCAACTCAACATAAATATCACAGCAGACAAAGGACTAAGGGCTATGGAAAGACAGGACAAGTAAGAACCATAGACATGGTGGTGGAAAAATTCCACCATCCAGTACTTAAGCCTATAGATAAACTTAATAAATCTTAATTTTAAAACTACTTGGCATAAATATTATCTTTTTTTTATAGCACAATAATTTGAAGAAAAATCATTCTATCTGGAAAAAAAGCTATGGTTTCATGGTTATATGATCTACATATTAAAACACTGGTACAATGAGGCATTATCTTAAAAGTACAGCAGGGGTTCTAAAGAAGCTGAATCACACTTGGCTTAAGAACTCTTTAGATTTGACTCTCTTAGCTGCCCATCATATGAATATATATGATTTTTTAAAAATCTTTGCAGCATATGTTCTCAGCCACAACTTAAACAGCCTCTGGAAGTGGGAATCCCCTTAAATTCTATTTGCCATTTGCTCAAATTTCAGATTACCCCTGCAACTTTTTGGATTAAGAGTTTTATGGCCTCCAAATTCCATCCTTTAAATATTGCACTAAAAAGTAATTTGACCATGAAACTCCTTTCCAGAGGGAAGGAGAATAAAGGCATCTCTAGCATAAAATTCTGTTTTCATTTCTTGACTACATAACTTAGCATAGGCTTAATATCGACCGTCTAATTCGGATGCTGGAAAAATACTGATCAAGACTTTGCAAAAGATAATGGAAAACAGAGGCCCGTTAGTAAGGCCATGCAGATAGGAAGTGATTTTCAGCCCCAGGAGGATGTTGTATCATCTATGGCTCGTTTTAAACTGAAGCAGCATCTGCCCCTGTGGATTTTGACTATCCTTTTGATTTAGCACAAAAGAGGGTTTGTTCCACCTTTAAAAGCACCCCCACCCCCCCACCCCTCAAGAACAAGTGGCTACTAAAACAAGACTGGGGTTGTTTTCCTACTGAAAATCCAGTGTTTATCCAGTCCTTTCCTTTTCAATTTCTAAGTTTAGTTAACCTAACAACAAAATCTATAACCCTCCAATTTCTCACAGAGCAATAAAAAGCAAAACAATTGGTTTCTCTGATTAACATTATTTTCAGTGAGAAAACAAAAATTTATGACTCTCAGACCTTTGAAATAGTTACAAACTGTATTTTTAAACTCTTTAAGATTCTAGGATATGCTTCTAGAATAAAGTAAGGAAATGTGGTTCCAGTAAAATGTGCAAAGCCCTTGGTGAAAGGTAATCTCTAGTGTGGACAGTACACAAAAATGTTCTCAGACAAGCTGAATGATTCCCTTGCCCCCATTATGTTTTTTGAAATGAAACACCTAGTGCATTTATACTCAGAAACCATAAATATCTCCTTATTAAGCCCTTCACAGATGGCATAAGCAAGGTTTTCTTCTACAGCAGATACTCCTACCACACATTCAAGATCATCCTGCCATCAGGTGGGTTATGTTTTAAATATTTTGAATTAAGAGATCATTACTAATTTCCTTTTAGAAAAACAGATTTTCACAATTACACCACTCTGAACATTTAGCTTCTTTAAACTTCTATTCTACACAACACAGCTTCTAAAGGGGGAAAAAATAACCTCAAAAAATGTTATATATCACAGAGTTTAATTTCAACCACCTGGTATAACAATGAGTGTGTCGGGGTTCCGAAAATGACCTAGGAATAATGAATGAATGAAGTCTCAAGGTTTTCCCCTATACCTCCCTTTTTTCCTTTCCAAGATTAGAACTTACTAGAAAATAGGTTTTTGAAAATAAAGTTCCTTTTTTGGAAAAACGGCCTACATTCAGAAATGTCTTAGAACAAATATTTTTTTAAAAAAACTAATAAATAATCATAAATCAAAATACATTAAAATAAAATTACAGTACATCTTCGCTCCTAGAAGGTCCACCCTACTGGGAGAGGTCCTTTCAAAGGTTCATAAATAAAGCCTTCTAGCCTTGCAATCATTTCCTGCATTGTGATGAGGAGGAGTATGCAGAAAACTCAGAGGAATTGTGTAAGTTATCGGTCGGCTGATGTCCAAACTACTTGATCTGGTGCAGCGCAGGGAGACTCGTTTTCCATCCACATGAGGACAATAGAAAGGCGCTCTCACTTCGTCGAGTCTTCAGAACCTGCAAAGAAAGGACACCGAGTGAAGTAGGAGGCTCAGGTTCCTCCAAGACCCAGTTCTCTCCGGGCCAGTCAGACAGACGGACAGAGCGTGCTCCCTAAGACACAGGGGTCGCTCCCTCAAGTGCCAGACACGGCAAGGGCCAGCGGTGCGGCCGGCTGCACCCCACCGGACGCGGGCCGGCAGGGTGGGTGGGCAGGTGGCGGTCGGCAGGCCTCCCCACCCAGCCCGAGCCCCCCACGCTCCCCTCTCTGCCCGGCTTCTCCTGGCTCTAGCTTGCTTCGCTTCTTCCCACCTGCCCAGAAACTTGAAATAACTTCTCATTCCTCCACCCAAGAGCCAAACCCGTGAACACACTTCCAACTCCTAACAGCCCGAGACCCAAAGCTCGCCCGGCCCTCGGGAGCCGCAGTTGCGGGGCCTTACCTCGCCTCGTCCGGGTGCTGCCCCCTTTAGGCGGAGTTGGAGGTGCTGCGGAGGAGCCGGTGGCCGTGCGGCTGCGAGAGCGGTTGTTGGTGCGGGTGCGGGAGCTGATGCGGGTGCTGGTGCGGATGCGAGTGCGGATGTGGATACGCGTGGAGCTGTTGGGGCTGCGGCTTGGGTTGAAGCTGCGGCTGGGATTGGGAATGTGGCTGGGGCTGGGATAGAGGCTGGGGCTGGGGCTGGGGCTGGGGTTGGAGCTGGAGCTGGGGCTGGGGCTGGAGCTGGAGCTGGGGCTGGGGCTGGGGCAGGGGCAGGGGCAGGGGCTGCGGCTGCGGAGGCTGCTGCTGGACCAGGTGCTGCTGCTTCTGCCGCGTGGACTTGACTGCCAGGATGGCCTGGCGGTTCTTGTACTGCACCATCTGCAGCGTGATCTCGGCGTTCCAGCCTTGGTCCTGCGGGCACCGAAAGTCGATCTCCTTGCCTTCGGCCATCACCACCGTGAAGTACATGTACTTGCCCTTGCGCTCCACGCAGTCCACGGTCTTCATGTTGGAAAAGTGCAATTCCTTGAGCTTGGCCGGCGGCTCGAGGATGGCGGCGGTGGGCGCCCCGGGCTGGGACGGCTCGGCGGGCCCCTGCCCGGGCTGCGGCGGCGGCGGCGGCTGGAGCTGGAGCTGGTGCTGGTGCTGCAGCTGCTTGGGCGGGATGAGCAGGAGCCCCTCCTCGGTGAGGATGCAGCACTTTTTCTTCCAGAGCTGCAACAGCCCGTCGCTGCGCTTCTCCAGCACCCCCTCTTTCAGCGCCTTGCAGCCGCTGCTCTCCAGCATCTTCCCGGCATAAGAGGGGGCGCCGCTCGGCTCGGCCTCTCGGCTCCCCGGCGCCCGGGCCGAGGGCAGCGGCAGCAGCCGCGCTCCGTCCTCGCCCCGGCGGGTCCCGCGGCGGCCGGCCGCCCGGAGCGCGCAGAGGAGGCCGACGCGCAGGAGGCACAGCGACGGCGGCTCGGGGTCCGGGCAGAGGAGCAGCCGCGTCCCGAGGCGCCACCGGGTCCCCTCGCTGCGAGCCGCCGGGCCTCGGCCGTCCTCCTGCGAGCGCTCAGCGAAGGGCACTGGCCGGGCCCCCTCGCGGCGCTTTTGAATGGGCCATCCTCCCCACCCCCGAGTGACACCCAGCGGAAAAGGCGGCTCCCGGCGCCCGCCCCGCGGGGGGAAGCCCAGCTCCGAGCGGCACTCCGCCGCGGGCGCACGCCTCATGAACTTGGGGCCGGGCCAGAGCCGGCCGCGCCCACGCCCCCTCCCTCGCTCGCCCCGCCTCTCGCCGCCCACTCGCTTCCTCGCCCCTTCCTGAGGGTGCCCGCTGGGACCCGAGCCCCGGAAACCCCCCCTCTCCTGCAGGAGCGACAAGTCAGGAGTGCCCCCGCTGGCCGGCCACAAATGCCAACTCCCACAGGGCGCTGGGAGGCCACCCCTTCCTCCCCCCCGGCCGGCGGGGCCGCCTGCTGACCGGCTCCGGACGGGAAGGGGGGCTGCGAGGGGCGCCCAGCGACCACCCGGCGCCCGGGACGCCGGCCTCCCCCTCCGCCCGCGGGCCCAGTCCCTGCGATCGCGCCGGGCGCCGCAGCCCCGCGGAGCCGAAGTCCTGGCCCGGACAGAGCCCGGGGGCTGGGGAGGAGGCTCGCGAGCCGTGGGATCCGGGGAAGTGTGCCCTCCGCGACCCTACGTAAACGTCTCGGTGCACAAAGGCCGGGAGGACACGGTGTCTTTGCACTCGTTTGCTCAGGGTCATCACGTCTTCCTGGGGCAGAGAGGGCAATTGTTAAGCAATAGCGCTCCCGTCTGTCACGTTTGGAAGGGGTGGAAGGAAGGCGACCTCAGAGGGCACCTCGCCTCCCTTCACTAAATAGCCTATCTTCTTCACCTTGGACCCAAATTCTCCAGCTTCCCTCTGGACCCATCGGGATGGTCTGCAACCTCTCACAACAGTAGCTCAACTCTATCTAAAACCCGGGATCTTCCCGTGCTGAGACTCCACACTATAAGGGCAAATGGGTCTCCGTTGGTCCCTCTCTTTACAAATGCCTACGGGGCCAGGTCTTTGTTTTATAATTCATATGTGATCTGGGGAAGGTGATGCTCTCTCGTATTTCCAATTTCTACAGAAATCCCGAGAAACAAGTCAGAATAAAGAGCATAAACTGAAACCAAACCTCTTGATGGGAAAATTCATCCACTAAGTAAACAGAGATCCTTCGTCCTGACCTTGAGGATGTGAAGAAGAATCACACGGAGAAGAAATAAACCAGTGGTGGGCAAGTCAGTATTGGTCACGGTTAAAGGAAAGGCTGCTGCGTGTGCCAAGAAGCAGGGAGAGCTTAAGTTCATCTGCTAGTTTCTTATGGCTGGAACGAGGAACTCAACAGGGGAAGAAGTGATGAGAGATGAGCTTGGAGATGAGCAAGAGTCAAATCCTTTGTGCTATGATAAGAAGTATGAATTTAACCCCAAGGTAATCAAGAACAAAGGATAATTTTTGAACAGGAGGATCCTGAATCTTAATCTAAGTAACGGTGTCTTGGCAAATGGGACAATCCCAGCACAATCCCGAGTCCCACTGAATTTGCATTTGGCAGGTTCTCAGGACCTTCACATTATTTAATGGACTAGCAGTCTTTTTTAAAGAAAAGGTCAATTTAAAAAAATTATATAGATGTTTGGTAAGATGATGAAAAAAAAAAAAAAAAGGCTGAAACCGGTTTGGCTCAGTGGATAGAGCGTCGGCTTGGGGACTGAAGGGTCCCGGGTTCGATTCCGGTCAAGGGCATGTACCTTGGTTGCGGGCACATCCCCAGTAGGGGGTGTGCAAGAGGCAGCTGATCGATGACTCTCATTGATGTTTCTAACTCTCTATCTCATTCCCTTCCTCTCTGTAAAAAATCAATAAAATATACTTAAAAAAAAAAAAAAGGTAAGCAAGTTTCTATAAAAATAAACACTACCATGCACATCTCAGTCCTTTCCTTGTCTTTGTAGGACAAGTGAGCATTCCAGAGAATTTCTACATGACCAGCTGTTCATCTTTTTAACAGAATGCCATTCTTCAGCTCATTTGGAAAGAATACTTCCTTTAAGTATGTAATTCTTAAGAGTCCCCAAAGGCAGATGAATTTGGGAAAGACATTTTATATGAAAAAAAAAAAAAAAAGTGGTACAATACAAACCTGATTGGGTGAAAAATAAAATGTAATCTGGAAGCCAAAATCATTTTCTTAAGAGAAACTCAATATATTTGGTGTTATCTAATTTGCACTTTATCAAGATGCAACACACACATTCTATTTAAATGTCTTCAGAATGTCCAAACAAGCACAATTTTCAAAAGCACTTATTATAACTAGAGACTTTAAAACTCTGAATTTCCAGTTGGATATTTCATGGCTTAGTGACTGTCACCAATTTAGAAGTACTTGTTCTCTCTGACCATAGGGCATTGATTACTGGAAATCTCAGGAGTATAAGAGTCTTGTAGATGGCGACAGCTTTGATCACCACCAACTCACAAAAATGATCCTATTGGATGAAATAAATTCACAAAATATGAATGATAAGAAATAACTGTTCCAAAGAAACACCACAAATTCAGTTGTAGATATAATGAAAATCTATTAGTATCACTTAGAAGTTATTAAAATTTAGAAAGCTGGCTAACAAAGTAATTGCTCTGATAAACAATTTGAAATGGCTAATTCAAATTATATATCAATGGCTGGCTGCATCAAATTGTCTATCAGTAGCATCTGACACAGTTTATTATTTTCTCCTTTTGGATACAGTTCTTCATTTGGCTTGGAGGACACCTCCCTGGTCACTGTCTCAGTTTATTTTACAGAGTCACCCACTTTGTCCCAATCTTTTCATATTAGAGTCTCATCATTTTCAATAATTTCTATATGCCAAAGACTCTCAAATTAATATCCAACTACTTGTTGCTAAAGAATAAAACAAAGACTACCAGCCCAGGCAGTGTTGCGCAGTGGTTGAGCATCGACCTATGAACCCAGTGGTCACTGTTCAATTCCCAATCAAGGCATATGCGCAGGTTTTGGGCTCAATTCCCAGTAGGGACTGTGCAGGAGGTAGTGGATCAGGGATTCTTTCTTTCCTTTCCTTTCCTTTCCTTTCTTTCCTTCCTTCCTTCCTTCCTTCCTTCCTTCCTTCCTTCCTTCCTTCCTTCCTTCCTTTCTTTCTTTCTCTTTCTTTCTTTCTTTCTTTCTTTCTTTCGTTTAATATATATCTTTTATTTTTTACAGAGAAAAAGGGAGAGGGATAGAGTTAGAAGCATCAATAAGAAAGAAACATCGATTAGCCGCTTCCTGCACGCCCCCTATTGGGGATGTGACTGAAACCAAGGTACATGTCCTTGACATGGATGGAACCTGGGACCCTTCAGTCTGCAGGCTGACACTCTATCCACTGAGCCAAACCGATTAGGGCTGGTTTTTTTTTTTTATCTCTCCTTCTCACTTCTCTGAAATCAAGATATTTTCTTAAAGAAATTGCTCATAAAAAAGAAACACATGCACACACAGAATAAAACTACCTTTTAAAAAAAAGTAATACCAGCATGCCATGCAAGGGAACACATACTGGTGAAGACACTCTCTGAGTAGTTCACTAGAAGAAAAAGTATGAGGGGATTTAAATATATATATATGTTTTATTGATTTCAGAGGGGGAGAGGGAGATAGAAACATCAATGATGAGAATCATTGATTGGCTGCCTCCTGCATACCCCCTATTGGGGATCAAGCTCTTAATCTGGGCATGTGCCCTGACTGGGAATTGAACCCGGGGCCCTGCAGTCCACAGGTCCACACTCTATCCACTGAGCAAAACCAGCTAGGACCATGAGGGGATTTTAGATCATAGAAAGCAGGATTCAACCCTAGCTGGTTTGGCTCAGTGGATATAGAGCCAGCCTGTAGACTGCAGGGTTACAGGTTTGATTCTGGTCAGGGGCACGTGCCCAGATTGTGGGCTCCATCCCCAGTAAGGGGAGTGCAGAAGGCAGCGGATCAATGATTCTTTCATCATTGATGTTTCTTTCTCTCTCTTCCTCCCTTCCTGAAATCAATAAAAAATATATTTAAAAAAGAAAAGCAAGCAGGGTTCACAGAGTGTTTGATAATAAAAAATTGATAAGCAATGCTCTAGAAAGTATGAAGTTCATGTGTTTATATATGATGGGTTAAAAAAGTTCCTGGATGGAATTTGTTCAGTAAAGGTCTGAAGTCACCTAGAGATCATGAATTTTTAACAGCTTTAACTTCTACTGTAGTATTTGGATGTCTAATAAGAGAACTCAGATATATTTGTTCCCAAGCTAATCTCCTCACCCTGACCTCCACCTGCAGCCCCCTTCTCACTTAGTAGCAATACCATCTGAACAGTTGTTCAGGCCCAAAACCTTAGAGCAGTACTGCCCTTGAAACAAGCAGAGAGCCTTTGCTCAGAGCCCTGTACTTTAAGAGTCAAAAGGGCATTTCTATCTGGAGCACACTCATTCTAGACTATACTCCAAGTACTCAGGATTCCAAAGACCCTGCCTAAATGGCCTCAACTGTTCCAGAGTATGCATTATATCACCGGTGTGTGCACTGGTGTGACAGGAGGGTGAATTTTGAACATACAGACTAGGGTGTCCACACAAATAAATGTGTGGGGGATGCCTGCTGCCATAGAACTCAAAGCCAGGGATGGGAAGAGAAGCTAGATGAGGACCAGTAATGCTCTGGCACTGGACTTAAAAAATCTGAAATTTGCCCAGACTCGGTGGTTGAGCATTGACCTATGCATCAAAAGGTCATGGTTCAATTTCCAGTAGGGCACACACAGACTGAGTGGCCAGATAATTATGCATTAATCACAATAATCTGGCCACTCAGTGTATATTAGGTGTAATTTTTTAAATGGGTAACTACTACACATGCTAGGCCTCAGAATGTAAATGCTATTTACTCTATAGATGCTATCTAAAATAAGTCCTACAAACCTTTCCTTTTTAAATCGCATAAAATTTAATATTGTGATAGGTATTTATATAAACTAGCGTCCTATTGGTTTCTCGTAAGAGCAAACAAAGGACAAAGAACAGTAATGGAATTGACTTAATAGCAGTCAAATGGCCAAATACTTGAATAAATCCGTTAATTAATACTGATTTAAAAGCATCTTATTTCAGAGGACTTGAAAAGTTG